GCAGAGTAATAGATGGAGGTGCATCAGTTTAGCAGCAAGATAGGAAAATGTAAGTTTTTAATCAATATAAGCTCTGTCTCTGGAGTGCTAGGCCAGATGTCTGTTGAACAGCATGACCAGACTGCCAAACCAAGGGCCTTCCAGATCAATACCAAGAGACCCCTTGTACATTTTATGGGGGTCAAAGCACTTGAGCCATGAGCCTTTCTCCTTGTGGGTTCTCATTCCAAAAATGAGGCAAGCTTTTGCAGGCCTGAGTGATCCCTTGCACACAAAATGCCCCACACTTGCTTGTTCCACATCATTCATTTCTGCACTAGCCCAAAAGCTGGTTTGGCTTTTTTCATTGCCTGCATTTTAAGATACACTAGGCCCTTGAGCTCACTGGCCTTCCTTATGTTTGACTCTTGTTATTCTTTCTTCTGGTGGGGAAGCCAGGGTGCTGAAGAACTGCTGCCACCAAGGCTGCTCCCCCTTTTCCTCCCTCCCCTTGTCAGCTGTGCTTCCCTGGGTACCAGGCTCCCAAAATGAGCTGCAAGGGTAGTGGCTTGTCACTTTGGCAGCAGGAGGAGAGAGAGGATGGAGAAAACACTGGAAAAACAGAAGAACTTTAAGGTGTCACGAGGCTGTGCCCTGGGTATGTCCAGAGGGGCAGGCACCATCCATCCTGCACAGTGGTGGGGCAGAGCACAAGAGGCTGGCAGTAAAAATCCTCTCAGCTCTTATCATAAGGGCATCGGCGACCCAGCACGCACGTAGCTCCTGGCAAAGCTCCTGAGGCTCTCATCATTCCCACACAATGCATTTGTACTGGACTCTGAAGGAGACCTTTCCTGCCTCAGTGAGTTGCAGAGATCTGCCTCACGTGGTCACCACTGTGGCACAAGGTTGTTGGTGCTGCCTGCATCTGCTGCCCCATCACCTTCCCAGAGCATCCGAGAGGGGCAGCCCTGCAAAGTCCACACAAACTGTGGGATCTGGGCTGCTGCCTTCAGCTCCAGGGGTGCCTGCAGATCTCTGGGATACATTTGTGCTTTTCACAAGCTGGGAACATTGCCCATAGCTCAACAAGATGTGGTGACAGCTCTCCCAAGCTCCAGCCAGGATCTTTGGACGCGTCTGGGTTAGCACACGGATCAGCCTCATGCTGCAGAGCTTGCCAAGGCTGAGGAAGGACTGCAAATTTGATGTGACTTTAGTTTTCTACAGGGTTCACAGCCACAGGAGAGATACCTTGATGGCAAAGTTGACATCCCATCGAAATCACTAGAAGTGGTGTGGAGAGCAGGGCCCACCTTCAGTCCCTCTGCCCCCACACAGCAAAGTCACAGCAGCAGCTGTCCTGGTTTAGGGCAAATCTGGGGGAAAACCTCCAAATGGGGTTCTTCCAGAAAGCAAATTCAAGCTGTCCCTCCCCCTAACTGGTTCAGGAAAAAGATTTCCTTGGAGAAAAGTGGAAAAAACTGCTTTGGGCAGCACTGGCACTAGGAAGCCTCACCAGCAGGGGAAAGGCAGCCCAAGAGATGGTGCCAAGCCAAGTTCTTTTTACAGCTCACCTCCAGACTCAGGGTGAGGTCTTACTCTTTTATCCCTTGTGTGAGAGCATGGTCCATGGGGAAGGAATCTTCCCAGCCTCCTTGAAGTGAGGAGGAGCATGGTAGCAGGGCGTGTAACAGCCTTTTCTTTCAGTCAGTGGAGAAGTTCTGACTTGTGTGGCTTTGCTGTAAATTTAAGTCTCGGTCCTTCCTGTGAAGGGCTTGGGGCATTGCAGGGCATAAATAATAGACATTCTCTTGTTTTGCCATTCATAAAAATGTAATGAGGAAATTGCCATTTTCATTAAAAGAAGAAAAAAATTGTCATATGTTAAAACAGGCTTGCAAAGCCAGGGACTTAAATGTGAGTTTATACTTTCCCAGCCTTCATTCAGCCACTTGCATGGGCACAGCACTGCCTTTGCTCACCCAACCAAGTGCTGCTTCTTTTTTTCACAGGACCCTGTCCCATACTCAGTGCAAAGGACACTTGATACTCAAGCTAACTGTGAGGATGTTGTAATAAACAAGGCTGTTTTTATATGGTCAGAGTTAAATATTAAACCACAGTTTTGGCAGGAGGCCACAGTCCGTACATTCCTAATTTTGTGGGTGCCCAACACGAGACCCTGGGGGCCATTTTGCAGAACTGCTGAACACTCCCAGCTGTTTTCTAAAATGCTGTCAGCTCAGCCAGCAAACTGGTACAACCTCGAGGACCCAAGAGAGCCAAGAGGTCCTAGACTCTGGTCCTGCACCTGTTACTGAAAGGGGAAGTCTCTTTTCCCTTCAAAAGCCAGGAAAACAACCGCTCTCTCTTGCCTCATCAGGAGCATAAATTCTCTATCATCAGCTGCAAGGCAAATGTAGCTGCTAACATCTTCAGAACACCACAAGACAATGAATAGTGATGTATTGCCTGCAGGGCTTGCTTGGCAGGCAGTAAACAAATAAAACAGGCACACATTTTGCAGTACCCCAAAAAAATTATATATATACATATATATAAAACAGCCCCCTGCTTCACCTCTTGAGCACCATGGAGCCAAGTACCTTGAATGAAACAGTTCATAAAAATACGGCATGTGATCCTACCTAGGACTGCAACCCAGTGCAAGTGGCATGCTGCCACCAGTACCAGTATTTCCTAACTTTCAACTGCTTGTTTTTGCAATATGAATAGTATATTTCACATAATCCAACCCCTCACAGATGAAGCAACTTTTCCTTCCATCTCTTGAGTCTGGAATCAAACTAGTTTATAGAAAAAAGCCCGCACATATTCTTGCTGTTATCATACCCTCAGTCACTGGAAGCTTTTTTGTGAGCCAGCATTTTGGTGAAGCCACAGCAGGAATAAGGTATGTGTGACAAGGTATTTCCCTGCAGCAGGAGGAACATCCCAGAACTCCCACTCCTGCTTCTTTCCACTGACAACTGAGCGTGTGTCATGGTGTAGCACGCTGAGGCATTACCCAGCTGGCAGGAGCATCCCAGTATGGGCATCTGAGTTATGGTTTGAGCCACCCAGCACTGGGACACTTGTCAAGCAGTGTAAGCAGCTGCTTGTAACCAAACATGGCAAGTGAAGGAAACTGCCTGCTCTGTCTTTTCACTCAGCAACAGGCAAGAGCTGAGGAGTCACCGAAGAACTGCCCAAAAATGCTCTCCCACAGGCTTGAGCCTCTTCCCCATCCTGTTCCAGCCTCTGGTGCTCCCTGAATGCTCCTGTCCAGGTATCCTTGTGGCCCTGTGCTGCTGCTGACCCTCCCAGCCCTTCTGAGACACAGCTCTGCCTTCATCAGCCTTCTGTGGTGTAGAAGAGCCTAGAAAATCCTTTCTGCATCAGGCTTAAAAAAAAAGCCAGAGGAAGGGTAGGAAGCTGAAGTAACTCTTAAAGATACCTGAGCTCAGAGTGCACCTTGCTAGCATGTGACATTCATTTTGCTGGAGGAAAGGGTAAAGCTATGAGCTGGTATAAAAATTACATAAGAAGGCTTCCCCCCTTTCTCTTTACAAACAGTCCCTTTGCTCAGGATTTACCATAATTCCTCCAAGTGGACAGGATGCACTAATAACAGAGGCAGCACTGATGTCTGACAGGGAGACAACTCCCGCAAGCCCTTCGCTCATGTGGAATAATTCCCTTGCAAATGTTGTTTGCCCACAGCAGTTAGAGGAAGATCCACCCCTCCCTCCACCCCCCAACAGACCTGAGTGACAAAGCTGAGAAGAAAAATGGTCTGCAGTTCTGAAAAGGCTCCCTTCTCCTCACTGCTGGGAATGTCCCCTGCATTGGGACAAGTCGCTGTCTGCGTTTAAGGGTTCCCCTGTCTTTTAAGGGTTTCCTTCTCCTGCAGCAGCAGTCCTTTCCCAAAGGAGATGTTGTCTCCATCCTTGAGCAGCAGGTCAGAGCCCTGCAGCAGAGCAGTGCTGTATCCTGCCTGCTGCTGTTCCCACCAGGGCTGTGCTGGATGTGGCACATTTGGGTTACCTGACTGGGGCCCAGCCTGGCCATGACCTGCTTGGAGCAACAGCTTCAAATACCCTCTCTCCCCAGATCAGGAGAGCTCCAGTTTAACATGTCTCTGTTAATTAGCAGGAGGTGCAGGGACATTAATAAACTGGTCAGGCAGAGGGAGGAGGAGGAAGGCAGAATGCCCTGTGTGGGATGTGTGTGTGCACGTGTCTGTGCACGCCCATGTACGCACACACACACAGACAGAGCCGGGCTAACCTTACCCCCTGTCCATCGTGTGCTTCACCTCCGCTCACTTGGAACCTCATTCTCACCCTTTCCTCCCAGTCAGGGCTGGAAAAGGCTGTGAAGCTTCTCTGGGCTGTGTTTCACCCACCCCTCTCAGTGCTGTGCTTTCCACCCAAAAGTTCAGAAATCACAGGCTCAGCCTGCGGAGATGCTGAAAGCAGCTCGGGACTTATTTTTGGCTCTACTTGTGATTTGGCATCCTTCACTTCATGTCCTGTGGTCATGTCCGTGAGCACACACACCCCCACACTCTTATACACATCCCCCCCATCCTAAAGCTGCGCACGGAGTGCTGAACCTGTTCGGTTTTGGTCCGCACTTCTCCATTTTAGGCTGTTCTTACCGCGACGGCCGAGTCCAAAATATTAGCGAGCAAAGGCATCACAAGTCAGGCGAGTGGCACCTCTGAGAGCCCCGAGCAGGGCACAGGAGGCAGGAGCTGCCCGGCACCGAGTTCTCAGCCTCCCAGCCGCACCTGCTGCCATCCTCAGCTGGGAGAAGTTGCTCCAGCACTGAAACTGGACTGGAAGCAGCAGCAGCAAGCCCTGCAGGGGGTTTGCCGTGCGGGGGAAAGCGGTGCCCGGCCGGGAGCCCTGCGCTGCCCCTGCCTGCCGCCCTCCGCCCCGGGGAAGCGCTCCCTGCGGCCACCTCCCCGAGCCGGCCACCGGGGAAAAACGCGAGAGGGACATCTCACTTACCCCTCTCAGGCTGGAATGGACCCTCCTGTGGGAATGGCAGCTCTCCCAGCTCTCTGAAGCCGGTACAATCCCAAAGCAAATCCAGCAGAAAGTGGCTCTCGGCGGACCCTAGCTGGCAGGAGCCCTCCCTAGGCAGGCTGGAGGGCAGGGGAGCCGCGCAGCGAGGTGACAGCGTGGGAAAGGGACTGTAATCCTCCGTAAATAATAAACAGGGGGAGAGAGAAGGAGAGAGAGAGGCGGGAGAGGGAGCGACTGTGCGCGGTGAAGTGGCAGCTGGGGGTACATCTGCGATGGCAGCAGCACACGCACGGGAACGCGCACAGACAGCGCAGGGGAGTCACCCCGCCAGGCAGGCAGGATCTGCTCCCAAACAGCCAGAGGAAGGAGCTCGGGAGGTGTTCATCCCTCTCAGTGCATCCTGCAGAAAGGGCAGCTGCTGTCAGTCCCTCTCTCTCCCTCATCCCTCCCTCGCTGCCATCGCTCTCCGGGCTCCGGGGGGCTCCAGGAGGGGTGAGGAGGTGCCAGGGCGGGAGGAGCTGCCCACAGCCCCTCGGGAGCTAGATTGGTCAGACACAGGTTACAAGAGAAGGCACCGAGCTGAACAGTTCCTCCCCTCCCTCCCTCTCTCCCCTGCTACGGCTGATGACAATAAACTCAGAGGGAAAGGCGTCAGGATGAGCGGGGACCAGCCCTGGCTTTCCTATAGGAGCGAGAGGAGCGGCTGCAGCCATGGGGAGACAGCAGGGGAGAGCACGGGGGCTTGGGAGAACACGGGGGGCTTGGGAGAACACGGGGGGCTTGGGAGAACACGGGGGCTTGGGATAACCCAGGGGGCTTGGGAGAATTCGGGAGGCTTGGGAGAAAGGCACCCCCTTCCCACCAACGCTGCAGAGAGCATGGTGGGCTGGCAGTCAGTCCAGCAGGGAGACAACCGAGAGGTGCCCAGCACAACCCTGTGTCTGTTTCCTCAGGGATTCAGGGAAAACTCGAGGGGTACTGTTAGGGAATAGTTGGGACAAGGGTGAAAGATCCACAGTTCGTTCCCCTGAGCTTTGGCTGCAGCAGAGAGTGTGTTCAGCCACGGGTGTGTGTGTCAGGTGCGGTGACATCCATCAGTGACAGGCATTCCCTGCCCTCCCTGACATCGCCTGCCAGTGCAGGGATGCTGTAAGCAGCCAAATCCAGCCCACTACCTCTGTTGGGATTTCCTCTGTGCTCTCCCCTGGGCTCCTGTAGCCTTCCCCCCCAAAATCAGACTCCTATCTTGCCTTCCTCCATCTCGATGAGCACCTCTGTAGCTCGCATTTGCAAGAATTACTCTTTTGTTGATCTTCCCCTTCTATCAGATCCAGTGTCATAAACAGGCTGATTTGGGCTTTTTGTTCATTTTCATTTGTCTGGAAGTTATCTTTTTAAGTAAAATTTTTAGAAGACTCAAAATTTCAAGTTACTGACTCGAGAGGGAAAATAAGAACATTTCAGAAATAGGGAACAGAGAGAAATGCAAATGGGTGGTATGGGCATGGCTGTTCTGCTGTTCTGGTACCTTCCATTTGAATCACAGGTTTTATGTAACCATTGGACCAGCTGCCATGAAAACAGGTTGTGAATGGCAAGGTAAATCTTGATAAGCACTCTGCAGGATGCAATCTTGCGACTTTGTTATGCCTTTTCGTTGTGCAGCAGGCCCAAGAATTAAATCTTGGGGAAAGCTCCTTATGTGAACAACATATGGATAATCAAAGAGAGAAGCCAGAGACTGCAGACTGAAAGAGAGGCAAGCAGAGGATGAGCTAATGAAGCAGGCATGCTCAGCACAGGGATGAACAGGTGGAGGGGAGCAGCAGTGCACAGCTCCAGGGAAGGCCCATGGGTTTGCAGGCAGGGTGGGGAGTTGGGTGGGAAGGGGTGCACAGCTTTGGGACCCTCGGTGATGTCTACCTGTGCCAGGTGTTCAGCACTGCCTGTGCTCCTGCTTTATTGCATTGCTGGGCTGCTGCAGTGGCACGGGGCACTCAGCTGTGAATTCAGGAATAAAACCATTAGCCATGGGCCCTCTGGGGACTCTGCAGCACCCACTCATCATTTCATGGACCTCAGATCTTCCCACTGATGCAGCATACCCTTTGCCACCAGAGCAAAAAGGCTCATTAACCATCAGTTATTCTTTGGAACAAGCATAGAGAAGTTTATTCCAGTTTTTTTTCGCTCTCACTTGAGCTGTAGAATCATCCTTACCTCAGACTGAATCACTGCTTTCCTCCTTTCTCCTTGACCTCACCAGCAGTGTGAAGATGCACAGGTGACTGTTACTAGCACTGGAGCGGGGTTGATTGTGCCCTGATTCTCCTCAGCTCCCGTGTCTTCCTCAGATCACCCAAATGTGTGAAAGTTTCTCCCAGTTCTTGCCAGTAGCTGCCACTTTCTGTCCCTGCCACTGGCCACCAGTGCAACCCCAAGGTTTTCTTCTTCATCATATTGCAGGCTGGGTATGTGCTGCTTATGCCTCCTGAGCAGAAGCAAGGATTTACAGCCAGGGGCTAGGACCTCTCTAAAGAACAATTTAAGGCCAAGTGTTCCCACTGGCAAAAATATGAGCCACTAAGTCTGCATTGCAAGTTTAGTTATGTAGGTATCAACTCCTCTTCAAGTCTCTTGAAAACTATCTCTCCTGGGTAATGCTCAGTCCCATTGATGTGATCTGCTGTGGTAAGGGGAATGACTCTCTCTCTTGAGATGGTTTGGAAGGATGAATTTATTTAAAGTAGGTACCAAAGCTGGTGCGTGGGCCTCATGGGACTCAGCAGCAGCAGCATGCCTGCTGTCATGGCATGCCAATTTGTCAGCAGGGGCACCAAGCCAAACCATGCCAGCCACAGCCTCGCTGAAGCTGAGCCATCTCTGCCCAGGCCGCACTCAGCCCTGTCCTTCCTCCCTTCTTTGCATTCTTTGTCTCGTCTGCTTTGTGCTCTGTGAGGCTGAGGGCAGTGCAGCTCCACAGAATCATTCCTTTCCCCCCCAGACAGGCAGTCAGATTTGGTTTACAGAAGGGAGAGCTGGATAAGAAATGTACCTCTGATGCACGGGATTTGTAAGATGTACCAGCAGTAGGAATGTGACAAGGACACTGGTATAAAACACAGAGCTGATGCCAGGTGCCAGGGTCTCTGTACATGAGGCAAGAAATTATACCATTGCATACTCCAGGTTTAATTCATACCCATCTGAATTAGAGCATCAGATCATACTGTCAGCTTAAAAGCACCCACACGGCATGATTCAGATTTAAAGGATCTGTTCCCCCCTTTGAAGCTCCTTCTAATTCAGAGGAAATCTGTAGAAACAGCAACACTTCATCCTCCTGATATTGGTGGTTGTGAAAAAAAGGCTCCAGATCTCCCTCCCTGTATTTCTTTTTCTCCCTCACTTGCACTTTATATTCTATTTCAAGGTCCTGCTTGGGGCTGTAATTCCTCCAGAGCTCTTGGATTCAACTGGTTGACACCCAGCCCAGTTGTTCCCCGTCACCAGAGGACTGGTTTTCATGTGTGCTGGTGGACAGCCTAGCCAGGGACAGCCAGCTTATCCTGTCAGGGACACCCTGCACCGTCCCTCTGCAGCTATGCCTTAATTCAGGAGCATCATGCTGGGAATAGAAGGGAAATTAAGCCAGGAAATTAGGACACACTTCATTAAGAAACACACATACACACGGATGCTTAGCCCTCCGTGCACTGGGCTGGCACCAGGTAACAAATCATTATTCATAATCGACACTTTCTGCCAAGTGGCATTCATAATTCTGTGCTTTTGTAGTGGCTTAGGAAAAATCTAAATCTCTGTGGTTCCCCCTTGAGACAGGTGGGTTTTCAAATTAATCCCTTCCTCACTGGCCTACTTTATTTCTGATTGATGCTGCGTGGTATAGGAGTTGAGGCTGGGCCGATCACAAACATCCATCCTGGCCAGGCAAATCCGAAAAAGACAAAGACAAAAGCTCATGCCACCCTGGGGGGCTTTTGGGGGATTTTGATCTGTTTGTAGCTTCATAATGTTTAGTGTGAGGGAAATCTCAGTGCCTTGGTACAGTCAGTGTCACCTTTTCCTCTCCCTTGTTAAACCCCTGACTCTCACTTGGCAGCCTGACTCAGCGCTTACCATTCACACTTGGAAGCAGGTTGCAATTGTGATTTCCATCCCATCACCCTGGGCAAATATTTACTCCTCTTTTCCTAACTTGTATTTATGTCTTTAATGCTCCTCTTTTGATCCTCCCCTCTTTTTGTTTCTTGCAGCTGTGGGTGTGCAAATAAAGCTGGATTTGCTCCAACGCAAGTTTTGGAAGGCCATGCAACAGGTAGGAGCATCAGCAATCATGCAGAGACACAATTTCATGCTCCTCATCAGCAAGGTCGATGCTAAGTTACGTCACATACCGTGGCATTTTAATGAGGGCTTTTGTGGAATTCATATTAAAAGATTTATGAAGCAGATTAGTTTGAAGTCACACATTTCTGTAATCCTTTGACGGCACTAATGCCGTGTGAGCCACGAGTCTGTTCTGCAGATGCCGTGGTGACAGTGTCAGCATCCTGGCCTGCCATTAGCTCTGCTGCATGTGACACATTTAATTGTGGAAATATGTTTGTGCTCACTCAGCCTTTCAGAAACCTCATGGAAATGTGCAATTTTGGGCACACAGAAAAAAAAAATCTACTGCCTTCTCTTATCTTCTTGATAATGATAACAAAACACTACCAGCTTGCTAAAATAACATTTATTTGCTCCAGGGATAAGCTTTTGGTGTTGTCCTAATATTAGATACTCTTCTGGACTGAAAGAAGTAGAATAATTAAAACTCCCCTGGCCTGGGGAGCAAGAAACATGGAACACCTTTCCCTTCCCACCCAGAATCTTTCTCCCCAGGGTGTTGTGCTGGAGGGGTGAGGACTGTAGCAGCACACAGGTGGCTCTCTGCTGTCAGGAGAGGGAACTGTCATCACACAGGGGTGACAGAGAAGGTAGGAGGGCAGGAAGCTGCTCTGTGGAGGCAGGAGCATCCTCACAGGTGGGAGATCACACAAACCTAACCTGAGCTAAAAAGATTTCTGCAAAGCACATGAGCACATCCTGAAAGAGCAACAGCGAGCTCAGTTTTAAAAACCCTGCTCAGGGTCCTACCCAGGCAGTTCTCACACAAACAAGCCCCCATGGTTGTTAAGTGAAGCTGGGAGGCCTCATTAAAGCAGGTGAAGGAGGCCTGTGTGCCAAGTGGCTGCAACCCCTGGTAGGGGCTGGTGTGAAAAAAGGCTCCATGTAGTTTCCCAGGATGTGAGTGCTGTTGGACAGAGGAATGATTAACAGATTTTTGTTTTCTCTCTCTCTCTCCTGCCTCACTGATGCCATGCTGCTCTGGATGTCCACGCTGTGCTTCCCAGCCCAATGACACTGATGTAAGTAGACAAAAGCTGGGGACAGGGAGGCATCCTGGCGTGCTTGGCTTCCTAACTGTGGCATTTGGGTGCCAGCATATTATAGGCACTGTCCCTTGTCTGTAGCCACTGGAGAGGGTCCAAGCCTGTCACAGGCTGTGTTTGTCTTCCCAGTAATTAAGTGTCTTTGGCAAAGCTCAGAGTGCTCTGGGTCACAGAGAGCTGACCAACAGCAGGAGGATGCTGTGAGCTAGGCTGGTGTCCGAGGAGGGAGCTGTGTGATGAAGCAGCACATGTGGTCTCAGAGCAGGCAGGGAGCACAGGCTCAGTTCTGCCCCATCTCAGGGGCTCCCTGGGAGCTGCCAGTGCTCTCAATCCTGGCTGTGGTCCAGCAGCAAGCACTGCTGGAACTTCTCCAGGCCTGCATGTGCAGTGGCAGTGAGAGCCAGGCCTCACACTGAGGAAGATGTGTGACACACGAGCCCTTCTTGTGGAAAACCACTGGGCTTCACCTGGGCTTCTGCTCTGACAGCTGAACCCTGGGCTCTGTGTTTGCTATCCCCCAGGGCCATAGCTGTGGTTTGTTGTGACCATGTTCTCTGCTGATCAAAGGAAGGAACCTGCCAGGGTGAAGCACAAGGCCACCTCTAGGAATACATCCAGGGAAATAAAACAACGTGCTGCTTTGTGGTGAGGCAGGGGTGAGATGGTGCTTGCAACTGCACATGAAGGAATTTTTTTAAACCATCATCCCTAGAGTCTCAAAAAGCCAGCTGGATTCAGAGTATGAACATGTGCTATTGCAAAGCTGTGGAACTTGAAACAAACTCAGGCATCTCCAAACCTCCTCTGAAGTTGAACAGAGGGATAGAAAACCATTTTTTTTCTGCAAAACTCAAGTGGAGAAACAAATCCTAACTGAAAGTTACAGTCTTGTTGTGGTCTGGAATGGCCAATTCAGCTCTTGCTCCTGAGACTCACCCAGAAAGGGGGTTGGATTTTATGTCTAAGGGTTTTGAGAAGGTTGTGGGTAGCTGGCTGAGAGCAGACAATGTGCTATGCCAGTGTCCTTCCCTGACCCCGGAAAACCTCTGGCAGGAAGGGGACTCCATGCACAGAAAAGGCAACACCGTGTCAGCTTTCTTCCCTCTGCTACTGGAGAGAATAGAATTAAAAAATAACACAAAGAGACAGACACATGCAGCCACGGCAAACTCTGAACAATTATGAAATCAATAAGCACCTGAAGGGCTTCGTTACTCACCACTTAACCCCTGGTGTCCCCACCCAGTTCTGTGTTGTGAAACACATGTCAAGTTCACTACGCAGAAATTCTAAATTAAAGAAATGGATGGTGCCTTGGGCTACATGTGCACCATTCACATCCTATTTTATCATGAGCTAGCTGCAGAATAAAGAAACCAACAGCAACAACAACAAAAAAATCCCTGCCTGAGAAAAGCACTGATCTAAAAGACCATGCTATGTTCTTAGTCCAGATACTAACAGATGCTGAAATGCACGCTGGTTTCTCCCTGGTGCACAGCAACCTTTGCTTTTGCCCTTTCTTTCCAAGTGCCTCCTGTGTTTGGAGTGCACAGGTCCTGCTGGGAGCACGTCAGGGGGGCAGGTGCAGGATGGGAGCCCTCAGGAGAGGGGATGTGGCTGGTAGAGGTGGGGAGTTGGGGTGTCTGTCCTGGTGTAAATGGCAGCTGGATTGCAGAGCTGTCTGGGATGCTGTTCTGGGAAGCTGTAGCCCCGCAGTGCCAAGAGGCAGACGGTAAGATGAGCTCGTGCCATGCACTGAGGGATGCTCTCGGGGCAGGTGGATCCAGGTGCAGCTGCAGGCTGAGCTCTGGGAGCCCCAGGCAAGAGGCTGTGAACTGGCCCTGAGCCTCTGCACAGCAAAGGGCACCACGGGGCCCTGGGGACAGCCAGGTGTCCTGGACACGCAGCAGGAGCAGATGTCTCAGCGGGACAGCCCCAGATGATCACACACGTGGACTGTGAGGGTATAAAAGCCCAGTGTCCTTTGTCCAGGGCCCCTCCTCAGAGACACCAGCTTGATCTCCTTCTGTGTTGCTGCACCATTAATAAATTGCTTTAAGCTTCTGGATGTCTGAGACCCTGCTGTGGGAAACCTGGAGCTGAATGAGCGAGGAAATCTTGTGTGGCTGTGTGAGTGTGGGGTGCATGGGGAGCGGAGCAGAGCCCTGTGGGGTCACTGCAGCAGCGAAAGCCTCTGGTGGTGGGGCAGTGGCTGCCAGAGCAGCTCCTGCATGGCCGGACTGGGAAGTTTCCCTCACACCATGGTTAATTCTCTGCTCTCCCTTTGCAGTGCAGCGGCCTGGACGGCGCCTGTCCACTCAGCTGTCAGGATGATGTAAGCTGCCTCAGTTTCCCCTCTGTACCTCTGCTGGGTGTGATTGACCACCTGCTCTGTGTCCCCAGAAAAAGGCATTGTCTGTTGTCTCCTCACAAGAGATTGTACAGCTGGGCCAGGACCTGGTACTAATGAGACAAATCTGAGTTTAGGTCTTCCCCCCAGCTGGGCCAGGGCAGAGACATTGGGACTCCAGCCAGTGAAAGTCCATCTCCTTTAAATCTGTCTCCATGGCATCCCAGATCTTCCAAACAAAAAGTGTCTGTCAGCATGATGTGCGTGCTGGACTCCTCTCTTTGTGTTTATGCCACTGCTTCAGCCTTGGTATCAGGAATATGTGGGACAGGAGATCCTCTGCCCTGAAAAGTGAGATCACCAGAGATTTATTTTGTTGTACATTCATGCAGGATTTTCTCTGCTTCCTAGTTTTTCCTCTGCAAGGCCTAAAGGTTTTCATCTGAACTCTGTGCCTCCATTTCCTGCTTTGCAAAATGCAGATGAGATCAGCACTGATACTCAGTGGTGGGGAGAGGGATATTTTGTGAGTGGTTCTAAAACTCTCAAATGTGAAGATGGAAAGCATTAGATACCATATTGCTAAAGAGAAGAGCACTCCAAATATCCTGGCTCTTCCTGAAGGATGCTTTGCCTTAACTGTGGCTCACACACAGCCTGCTAGGCCTGCACAGAGCCCTGGCTGGAGACAATCTCTGTCACAGCTCATGAGTGAAATACCCTCGAAATGGAGACAGAGAGGGAAAAGAATTGTGTAAAACTTGTGGTAGCCAGGCTGTGGGGCTTGGCACGGAAATGCTGAGGCTGTTGCCATCATCACAAACCCACACTGCTCCATCCTGAGCACAAACAGGGAAAAAGCCATCTTTAATACTGCTTCCCTTCCATCTCTGCAGATTCTGAACTGCTTCCTCATTGACAACAACGGCTTTATACTTGTTTCCAAAATACCTGAAGAGGTAAGAGAGCATTAGAGGAGGAGGAGAGTGGGGTTGGCATGTTCCTGAATAATCCACCAGAGCTGGGGAAAACAAATGAACTTGAATTGTGTAATAAGGGTGGCTGTGGTGTAATTAAATTCAACTGTGCAGTGAGGGGGAAGGCTCCCAGCAGAGTGACAGCACATCCTAGGTGGGGAAGGAGTTTGCAGTGATAAGGAAGGAACTAGTCAAAATATCTTTTGATCAGAAGAAAAGAAATTAGACTCTTGTTCCCTTGGCACAGATGCTATTGAAAGATGATCTGAGAGGGAAGGGAAGGGAAGGGAAGGGAAGGGAAGGGAAGGGAAGGTGCGGGAAGGGAAGGTGCGGGAAGGGAAGGTACGGGAAGGGAAGGTGCGGGAAGGGAAGGTGCGGGAAGGGAAGGTGCGGGAAGGGAAGGTGCGGGAAGGGAAGGTGCGGGAAGGGAAGGTGCGGGAAGGGAAGGTGCGGGAAGGGAAGGTGCGGGAAGGGAAGGTGCGGGAAGGGAAGGTGCGGGAAGGGAAGGTGCGGGAAGGGAAGGGAAGGGAAGGGAAGGGAAGGGAGGGGAGGGGAAGGGAAGGGAAGGGAAGGGAGCAGCACTTGTGAGTGCTTCTGAAGTCCAAGCAGGTGTTCTTCAGGAAAGGAAACTGAGGGGATGGTAAGAGCAAGATGGTAAAGGCAAAAAACGAAGATGAAATAATTTAAGCAAATTGGAAACAGGAACACACCTAAAGAACTGAAGAATTTACTGGATTTGCTGAGGTGAAAGGAGCAAGGGAAAAAGCTCAGAATAGAAATAAAAGTAAGGTGTGTGGTTCCCCAGCCATTTCTGGGGAGCTGAAAGGGTGCAAGTTTGACGTGACATCCTGTGCAGCTGGGTAAAGTCAACACTACCAACCACTGCATGGTTGAGCTACACTTTTCTGTTCTCTGACAAATTCACCACAGAGTTACTTCTTTCAAAATAATTAAACCCCATAGTTCTGGGCATCAGGAAGTGATATGTGGGAACAGTCTCACAAACTACAAAGCAATAAGTCAATAGCAAGAGTGGGTTTAGAGAAGAAATGAGAAACGAAGGGGTTTTGTTACTGACAGAATTGTGGAGTTTCATTAAGATTGCCATTGTGCTGGAGTTAACAAATGCAGTTTGGATATTTCCAAAAGGCACTAGAACCAGTCCCAGAAATTACTTTTCTTCAAAATGTGATAAACAGGTTGAAAAGGAAATTAAGGTAACAGAATTCGTGGTGGATGTGATTGGCACAAGCAGCACAGCTTCCAGATGGAAGAAAACTTATCAGCTATAGTTCTTTGAAAGTGTGACAAAATCAGGAGATAAGGGAGAGTAGATAACCTATTGAATTTCAGTTCTCTTCAGCCTTGAACCGAGTCCCTTGCAAGAATCTGGTGAAACAGTGAAGCATGAAGTAGTGACATTGATCTCAGAGTAGCTGGGACAGAAGAGAAAGAAGAATTTTGAGATGGTTATTTAAATGGAAAACATCAGCTGGATGAGTCCCACGGCTCCCCAGCTGGGCTTGGGTTGGTTAGCATATTCAGAATGGGCTGGCAAGAGAAAAAGGTGAGACTGTGCATTCTGCAGGCACTGCACAGTGAGTGCAGAGAGGCTGAGATGAGACTCTTGGGAGCCACAGAGCAAAACCAATCAGCAACACAGAGATACTGGGGAGGATACACACAGATACCAAGGGGAGCTTATTGCAAGGGATAACCAACCTCTGTTCTCTAGGAAAGTGAAAAGTGCCCTCCCCAGCACACTGAATAGTCCAGCAGAAGTGTCCCCACACATGGTGTGCCAAAAAAACAAAAAAAGCAAATAAAACTTGAAAGATGAGGGAGGGGAATGCTGTAAAAGTTGCATTGGCTCCCTGCTCTGGGAGGTCAGGTCCTACTGAGTGTTTGGAGTGGGCTGGTGATCTTAGGAATTGCTGTTTTCTCCTCTGACCGCCATGGCATTTTCAAAGATGCTTTACTGAGTCCTGTGACAGGTGTCCCTCACTGGGGACAACTCCACCCTTTAGCCCATGTCACCTGTGTGTCCTCAGCACTGCCCTCCTGGCTTCTGCCTCTGTAGTTTTTCCTGCATCTTATTAATTAAACATGGAATTATAGTGGATTTGAGTAAATATAAATATTATCCACATGCCTCCAAGATCAGAAATTTTGGCAAGCACCAGAGCTGTCCTCCTCCAGCTTTTACCTTCCCTGACCTTAGAGGGTTCACCACTGCTTTTTTTTTTTTCTGATTTCTTCATCCTGTTCCAGTTGCTGTGTTTATTTCCCGGTGGCACAATGAGTCTCCACACAGTTAAACCCTACAGGGAATTCAAGACAGCAGCACTAAATCTGGTTTCTGGGTTTCCTAGTCTTCTGGCACCGGGGTTTCCTAGCTTTGCCACGTGGATGTTGCTGCATGGGATCACTTGCAGCTGTGTGGCCTCCCCTGCCCCATCCTTTAACATAATCCCCCAAAAAAATCCTGTACCTTGATTTTTGTGGGTATTTTGGCGTTTCTGCCCACCAGAGCTGCCTGCACCTCCTTCCCTGGATGACCACACTGGAAATCAGAGCAGCTTCCTGCAGGAATGGGGTGAGGACAGCATGGCTCAGGCTCTGCTCTCCCCTGCCCTTGGGATGGGGGATCAGGGTGGGGGATTGGCTCTAATAACCTCTGTATGAAGGCAGCAGGAAGCTTACTGGCAGTTGGAAACCACATGGAAAAAGGAATCAGGATTTTAATGAGTGACAAGTTGGAAGCTCCCTGCAGGATTACTTGGGGAAGAATGGGTAATCTCTTAATTCGAGCTAATCTCTCCATCCAGTCTCATCCCAGAGGGAGCAAAGAGTTAAAACAGAGGAGAAGGGAGGGAGGCAGGACCAAGTGCTCTTGGAGGAAGGGAAGATAAGTGGCAGGGTCAGGCTGTGCTGCAGGGAGGGCAGTTTTCTGCCATGTTTGCAGCCTGAGTTTCCAGCTGCCTCTCACTGCCAGGCACAGCTGTGGATCCCAGGTCCTGAGCTCCCTCCGCCTGCTGCATCCAGATGTTCCCTCACTCACTAAACCTCTTTTTCTAGCACTGCTGCCTTCTGCCTGAGGCATTTTGCAGAGGATGTCTGCAAGCTCTGCCCAGGTGGGACTCCAGGGGCAGGGTGCAGGGAGGCAGCCAAAAGGCCAAGATGCCACCAGAGCTCAGAGTTTGTGGAGGAGCAAGGGCTGGCTCTGAGCCGCACAACAAGGAGCTGCCTGCCCGCCCAAAGCCTGGGCAGTTTGGCAGATCCTGTTTGTCTGCAGCTTCTGAGTGTACAAAAAGGGTAAATTGCTGCAAAAGCCAGCAAAGCATGGATGCATGTGAGCAGTGGTGTAGCTCTTGAGTCATGTGTGTGCTCTGGGTTGCATGTCTTGCCTCACACGTGCCTGTACACTCAGCTGCAGGGGGAGTGACACGGCGTGTGTCACGCAGGATGTCATGCAATGCTTCGTGCTGTCAACCTCTGAAATGGCAAGGGCCTGTGGAAGCTTGCCCAGAGGTGGGAGTTAGGAGAGACACAGCAGAGGGATGCCTGGGAGAGCAGCAGTCACTGGAGGAAGCAGGATGTAATGAGAGCTGCTTTACAAAACCAGGACCACGTTGGTTTCTTCCGAGTGATGCTTTTCTGGGTTCCTGCCTGCACAGGGTACCTAAAACAGCAGCAAGCTTTGAATGTCTGGTTTGGTGACGGAAACCAATTTGCTGCTGCCTTTCTGAGCACACTCCCTAGGCCACTTGCACTAACAGCTCCTCTTTCTTCTACCTGTACAAATGATATCCTACATGGAGAAATTCAGCCAGACATCAGCATCTCTTGACAAGATGGGCCTCATTTTCAGCCTTGCTCCCTCTCCTTGCCCCTGTCTGCAGCTTGCACTGTGTTAAATCTCACTGCTGGGCCTGCAGACTGGTATGAAATGGAAGCAGCTGGCCTCTTCACCACCCTAATCAGATCGAAAGAGCGAGGGAGGTGAAAAAAGTTACTGCTTGCTCAGGCACATTTGACTGTCTGAGATGATTACATCCTAAATGCTCGAAGGGGAGTTGATGTTATGTATCAATTTATACAGTGAAATGACTTCTAAAGCCTTTTGGGAAGAGGCTCATAACCATTTAACACTACTGTTAGATGATTACCATGTGATCTTAGGTAAATCTGCCTAAGGGTCCGGGCTTTCTTTGTGGAAATGTCCCACTCAAATAAATGAAGTCATCTGTCATCTGCTAATACATGTTAAATGACTGCTAGCCTATCAGTGGAAAAGCAAAACATCCCAGACTCTGTGAATGCTTCCATAACACAAGGGAGCTGTTTACTCTGCCAGGACCCGTAAGCCAGGAAAACAGACAGAGGACAGCTCATATCCGCACTTTTATTATTTACAAACATTTCATTCACTCGCCTGTGCACAAAGCAGTGGACTTGACAGGTTTGAAGCATTTTTGCAATGGATTTGTCATGGTTTAGTAATCAGGAAGGCCAGAATTGTTTGTTTGGGGAAATCTTTAAAGCAGCAGTTACTAGATTTGAGACTGTATTTGAGGTTATTGACTCCAAGGCCACAAGCTCCACCTTTAGTTCAAGCAGGACTGGGGGGTTGTTGTCCCCTCCAAATGCAACTTAGTTTTAGCTATGCCAGTGCACAGTGTGTAAGCTACAGGGATGGATGGGTCTGTGTTGTGTTCTTTGGGTTATTGCCTGCTCAGAACTCACACAGCAGTGAGTTGTAAAATTGCATTTGCTACCTAAATAAATCTGCATGCCACGCTCGTGCACGGTGGGCCAGTTCACCTAGGGCAGCAGGAGAGCAGAGGTTTCCAAAACCGTTGTGGCCATGGGTAGCAGGGAGGCTCAAATGGAAGACTCAGGCATTCAGATCCAGAGAACATGGATTCCCAAAAACCCACAGGAGAGTCCAGGCTTCCAGTGATTCAGCATGCCTGGGTCTCTGCAGCTTGAGTCTGCCTTTTTCTGACACAAGCTGCAGGGACTTACGTGGGCTAAATCATTTCCAAGCATGGTAGGAATGGTGCAGGATGCCCAGCTGGTGATGGGGGAAGTCCTCCCTCAAGCTTTCCAGCCAGCCAAAGGACAAAGCTCAGCACTGCCTCCTTCCAAAAACCCTCCTTGTGTACAGCGGGCCTCCAGACAAACTAGATCAGCTGGAGCCATCAAGCATTTGGAAAATTTACAGTTTATTCTGGTTTTCCCTTTTTGTGCTTGCAGACTGGAAAATTTTTTGGTGCAGTGGATGGCTCAGTGATGACCCAGCTACTAAACATGGGCATGTTCAGGCGGTAAGTGGGGGATCTCCACACTGTACTTGTTGTTCTTCGCTGGTGTGTGGGTCAGAGCATGTTGGTCCCTCTAAGAAGCACTTGAGCAGGGAAAATGCACATGCTGCTGGTGCATGTGACTCTCTTATTCAGACACAAGAGCTCCTTTAGCTACCTGCCCCCTCTGCTGACTCGCTCAGCCATCATCAGCACACACACTGTTTCTCCTCATCTCTTGCTCTTCCACCTGCTGCAAAACACAGAGAGAGACAGAAACTTCCAGTCTCTGTGTGGCCAGAGAGCAGCTGCTTCTCTGTCTTTTCCAGGGCAAGATGTCACAGGAAACATCTCTTGGCATTTTGGGTACAGAAGTGCCTCAGTTCCTCCTGCTGCTCAGAAAGCCTTTCTGAGGAGTGCTTGTCTGAGAGCCCCACAGATGCAGCACTGCAGCTGGCTGACCACATCTCTCTCTCTTAAAAACACCTCAGTTCCTCTCACTCCACTCCCTCAGCCGATGTCAAAAGAGAGTTCAGAGGTTCAGTGGCTTGAAAACAGGAACTAGGGGGACCTGAGGTAGTTACAATTATAATTCCTCTGCTTCATAGCCTGCTTTACTCACTGTCTGAAATTAGGGACATATTTCCTCCTGTACTGACCCAGTTACATTAATCCAGAGCCTGTATTTCTTGCTCTGCAAGATCCAGCACTGGCTAAACAGCAGAGACACGTGGAAGCAGGTCACTGCTTTAGTGCATCCAGGAAACAGTTCATACGTGACATTTTTGAGAAGAAGCTGACCTGTTTGTCTTGTGACAAGCTGCCCTGCTTGCTTCTGACTGCTTGTTTGTTGTGTTTTTCCTGCAGAGTGACCATGTATGATTACCAGGCCATGTGCAAGGTGCCCTACCACCACCACAGCGGCGCCCGGCCCCTGCTCAGCGTACGTATCTGTCACCAGGCAGCCCTCCCTGGGCTGGGCTGCCTCCTGCAGGGCATCTCCAGCCTGACCCTGAGACTTCAGGAGGTGTTTGCTTTCAGGTGATGGGACTATCCAAACTCACCTCAGGCAGATTCCTGAAGCAGTGGTGGCCTGATGTTGGCTTCCAGTGTGGCTCTCTGTTGCCATATAGGATCTCAGTGAAAATTGGAAGGATCAGGGGAAGGACAGGAGCTGGACTATGGCAGGTTCTTCTGAAAGCCAAGGAATCAGCTGGAATGAGCAGGAATGCTCTTACATGGTTTTACTCAGCTCAAGAAGGAGAGTTGCAGTGTCAGGGAATAGAGCACCTGGGGAAAACTGGCAGTCATTGGGGAAGGATGAGTGAGCCTGGAGCAGGAGAGAGAGTGAGAATGCTGGTAGCCCAGGGAACAAACTAACAGAGTGAAGGGTTTTACCAGGACCCAAATGCAACCTCTCTTCAGGCTGATACTAACTTCTACTCTAATCCCACTCCACCTTCCTAACCTTGCCTCAAACAGGCAGAACAAAGTAACTGCCCAGCACTTAGGCCACTTCAAACTGCTTGACACAACCCTAAACAAGGATGTGCTCATTATTGTCGTGATCCTTTGACACTGGAAGGAGTGCAGGAAGTAATCCTCAGAGCATGACATTGTCATTTTCTTCTGGTAAAAGAATTTTCAACAAAATATTGCCTTTTAACAACATTCTTAGCAATAACACTTTTAGCAATGTCTGATTTGCAATGGCTGTACTTAAGCTGGCTAGATAAAATATGGTGATTGTAGTGAAAATATTTGCTTGATTATATCCTCCAATTCTGATCACTGAAAGAAATGCCACAAACCATGAGCTGCCAAAAAAGAGGTGGATTGGGAAGATAATAAAAAGGTGAGCATTAAGCCTCCATCTCTTGTCTTCCCCTCTTAGCAAAACCCTTGAAAAGAAATCAAGAAAAGTCAGCTTTTCATATACAGACAAAAAACTCAGTCAAATTGCCACCATCTCTACATTTTACTATTTGCTGACTTATTTTGGCTGAAGAGAAGTCAGCACTAATGGAACATTATCCTGCATCCCATGGCTACTGCATCTGTTTTGGGTCTGGGGACATGGCCATGATTATGAGAGAGGGAGATGAAAATTAGACATGGTTACCACGAAGAAAAGAAGCAGCAGTATCCTCTGCAGATGAATTGTCCCTGGGATAATGCTGGATTTCCAATTTGTAGCTGAAAAGCAGGAAGATGATAGAAGTCATGCCATCTTGAGGAAAAGCTGGATGAAAGCACAGTTAAGCATAATCAATCAATGGCAGATAATACTAAATCCTGGGCAGTGCTGTCACTTGTCCCAGAAACACCACTTGCTCTCAGAACACAAAAGCATCCTAAACTGGTGGTGTCCCATTTAGCTGTGTTTCTCTCCTGCTCTGAGCTCTGAAGGTCATCCACACTGGAGAGAAATCATCAAGCAATTACATCTTCAAAGTCCTTCATACATTCCTGATAAACTCCCTGACCCTGATGGGGAGGGGGTGAGGAGGTATTATTAGTAGCAGGGCAGCTCTGCTGGCTTTTGATGTATTCTGAACATTTTCCAGTGATGCCCAGACCTTGAATTTCCAGCCTGTCTTCAAGAGCTGTGATCAGTGGAGGGACTTGGTTTAAAATGTGGGGTCCTGCATAACAATTACGAATTCTCTGACCAAGTCCTTATGGTAGTTCTCATTTCTTCTTTTTGTTCTCCAGCCAATTTATGCCTTTGTAGCTGCAGTGAAGTGGCTGATAAGTGATTTCCTCATGTGAGTACCAAAAGATGGGGGTGTTTGGGAGGCTCAGACCAGGAGGGGCAAGAGCTGGGAAAGCTGGGAAGCCCCCACGTAGGGCATTGCTGTCAGCCTTCTCCTGACATTCAGCTCTGCACCGTGCTCCTGGGAGACAGAAAGCTATTACCATTGCCATTTTGAGAGGCAGAGGCCCACAGTGGGTCTGGGATTTACCTGAAGTCACTCAGTACAAAGTGCCTGAGTCAGAAATAGGCCTTGGGTCTCCTGGGGCTCTGTGCTGATCCTCGGTGCCGAGTCCTCTTCCCCTGTCTCGTTTGCCCACGAGGAGTGAATGCACATCTTCCTCTCACGGGGGGAGAAGGCTGAAGGCAGCAAGCCAAGCAGCTCAGGTCTGAGTGCCAGGCAAAGGAGGAGAGAGGGGAGGCTCTCCTCTGGGTCTGGGTTCATCTCAGACTTGTGGGGTGAATCAGAGTTCAAGCTCAAATTCAGATGGAAGTGCCCCTGCTCAGCTTGCTGGGTGAGCGAAAGGGGAGATGTGGTAAAGGTCCAGCTCTGAGGGCTTTAGCCTGCTGGTACAGAATAATTCCATGTAGTTATCTCCAAGCAGCCAGAGTGTGGGCTTCTGGTGGCCATCCAGCCTGCTCCTCAGGTGGTCCTACAGTGGCTGCATCCCCTCCCAGCCTCAGGGGCTGCTGTACTTGTTCCTTCCTTCACTGGCGAGCCCCTTGCACAGGATATACTTCAGGGAAAAGTCCATTCAGATCTTCCACAGTACAGATCCCACGATACAGAGCTACGTTCTAGCATGTGGAGACAGGAGGAAAAAAAATTAAAATTTTTAAAAAATCAGACTTGCACTGTCAGAAATTTGTAGTAAACATTTTAGAACTGATACTCACTGGGCGACAGGGCCATCTCCCTGACACCTGCATCCTTCCAGGCTGCTGAAAAAGCATCCTCTGTTCTTGCTCTTTTGACAGCTTCCTTTTGGAGTTTAACATGAGTAGCTTCTGGCACTCAGACAACTTGGCAGATGGTGAGTACACAAGAGTCCAGCCGCCCCATAGCACGTGAGTGTTGCAGCCACTGGTGGCAGAAGAGGCTGTACGGGGAAGCCTGGCCTTGTGTGAGAAGCCTGCCCTCTGCCCCACAGCCCTTCCTCCACGGACACTGGAATCCAGCTGCCACATCCACCATCCCCCCCGTTTCCATCCCCGTTCCCACAGCTCCAGGGTGAGCTGGCTGCTGCTCAGAGCACGCTGCTTGCTTCCCCCTGGTTAATTTGCTGAGGAGAGGGGAGGCACTTCTTCCTAGGGACCCCTACCCTATGTGCTATGGGATGAGAGGCCACCAGCTGCAAAGAACTTCTGTTGGGAATCCTCCCTTCCAATCTGCTCCAGGACAGGACAGAGCAGGGGTGGAGCAGCAGTCTCTCCAGAGCCTAGCAGAATTCCCAGGAAGGTAGGCAGAGACCTTTGAGTCAAATAACACGGGGAGGGTCTTCCCTTACCCACTGGATCTGCTCTGGAAGAGAGAAGATGATGCCACATGGTATTGCACAGCAGCTGAGTTCTGTGTCTGCCTTCAAATCCAATCACCTGTCCTGCAGCTGAGGTGCTGCCTGCTGAAAACACACCAGGGATCTCTGCAGCCCCATGCCAGCAGCCCCTGCAAGCAGGGGGGATGTTAATGGCCCTGAGGAGACTCAGAGGGGAAGGGGAGGTGTGCTCTGCCCAGACAAGGAGGGGCTGTAATTAGTCTTGCTGATTATTGATCACTAGTGGTGCCTTTAGTGGAGACAGTGGTATGTTCCTTGCCAGCTGTGGGGCTGTGTCTCCTGCACTGAGCTCTGCTGGCATGATGAGGAAACAGTCATTTTCTGAAACTCCCCTCTAGAGAAGGAGGTCTGTGGGTGCTGTTTGGGTCCCACTCTCCACCTCCACAGAGACGGCAGTAGAAGCTGCAGCTGTCCCCTGAGCAGCTCTGGCTGCTGTGTAACACACAGCAGGAGAGCAGCAGTGGCCTCATGCAGAAACTGGTGAGGAAGAGTCAGGTGAGCAGGTGCAGTACCTGTGGAAGTTCAGGAGACACTGCTCCTGCAGGGGAACAGGCTGTGTTCCTGCTCTGCATGGTCTGTGGCTGATTTAGGCTGTGCTTGAGGAGAGCAAAAAGGGAGGGGGGATGTCACTGCTGCCCTGCTCATCACCATTTCCTTTTGTGCTTCCTTCATCTCTTTCCACATCACCTCCATGACTGCCGTGTGCAAATTCATGTCTCCATGTCACTGCCATCCTGTGAAACTGTCCCATGTCTCCATCGTCACTGTGTGTCTGGGGACTTCTCCAGCCAAGGCTGTCTTCCACCACTGTAAGTAGAAACACCTAATAGTTAAAAAAAAAAAAATTAAAAAATAGAATTAACTAGAAACTCCTAGGCTAGGAAAGACTCTTTTCCACCTTTTGTACAGTGAGGGATTTGCAGAAAGGCGTGACAGGGCCAAGGCAGAGCCTGGCTCTGTTTCCCTGGTCTGCAAAGAAGAGGTGCTGCTGCTCGTTTAGCTGGCTGAGCTGGTGATTGAAGGTCTGTCACTGAGGAGCTGATAACCGAAGGAACACACGAGCCTCCTGGGGAGCTGCAGTCACAGACAGCATCATCACTCACTGCTGTGGCCTGGCTGGGCCTGTGGCCCATGTTCCATGGCATGTCCTTCACCCTGGCTCCCTGCTGGCCCCTTCCTTTCAGCCACTGCTCCCAAAGCAAAGACCAGCCCGTGCATTCCTGCAGGAGTAACTACACGGATCTTGTAGACTTCAGTTATTAAGAAGCAACTTAAGTCTTCTTTTCCACACTCCATGGCTTGGCTCCTTCTGATAAATCCCAGCCCAGCTCTGGGATAAGGCAGGAGGACTTCCAAGTAGTTCAACTGATAAGGGTATGCTGTAGCTCATAAATCCGCTCCTACAGGCGAGTTAGAAATTCCTCCAAGAAGGAGTCCAGACTGTGGCTGTGGCTGTATCTCCCTGCTTCCATATCTAGCTTGTGTTTGCCAACTTGCTCTCTGCCCAGCAAGCCGTATGTGTGAGACAGAGATGGAGAAACAGAGACAGTTGGAATGTGACTTACTGGATGGAGAAGAGGAAGAGCAAGAGAGGGTGTCTGCAGATGAAAAAAACGAGTGTCCATGTGTGTGGGGGAGCAGCAGGGTGGAAGAATACTATTGGGGCTGGAAGGAATGGATTGCACATGTTGTTAAGAAGGGGCTGTAGATTTTTGCCAGAGACGTTAACATTTTCTTGACTGCACGCCAAGGCTGGTGTATGTGAAAAATATGAAGCGAAGGAGACATTTTGTGAGAGAGAAATTGAGCACACACATTTTTTCCGGGTTATGTGCATAAGAATTAACGATCAGGGATCTAATGCTCTCCCTTGCCTGGCTGTGTACCTCTGGCTCTGCAGCACTGAGCCTGTTTCTGCTTCCCAAGTTCTCTTGTTTTCTGGGAAGGTGAGACTTGCTGTTGGAATATGGGTGTGATGTATTCAGACTGCACTCATCATACAAATCTGCCTCTCAGAGGTGCTGAGAAGACGTGTTTGCTGCCACAGATTTTTCTCTGCTCTCAGCATCTCAGTTTCTCTCTGTGTTTTTTATAAGGGCTTCTGCTTTTATGGACATCAGCACAGGTTTGAAAGCTTTTAACTAAGCCAAAAATACTTCCAGCCAAGGCATGCAGCCTAGGAAGAACCATTTCTAGAATTCTGTAGATCATAAAATTTTCTCTTTTTTTTTTTTTTTTTTTTTTTCCTGCATGGTAATGTACACAGAAGATATTTTACAAGATAATTAGTTAAATTTTATGTTTTGTATTGGTAACTAAGTGGCAGATTCTGTCACGTGTGCCAGAGTAAATCCTCTGACTGGAGTGCATGATTTATGCTGGTGGGAAAGAGTTCACAGTCTGGACTCCATAGTTCATAACAAGGCACAGCAATTGCCTCTGCTGCTCAGAAGGATTGGTTGCCAAATGTCTGACAAAGTCTTTCTGGAAGTGCAGATGGTAGCAACGACAGCCTGGAATTAACTCACTCTTTGCTATAAAGTTTGCAATTTGTTATCAGCTCCTCTGGCTGTTTACTAATCCCTGACCAGCAGGCTCTCAGGGCGCTGATAACATTTTGATGTCCAGCATGTGCATGCAGAGGCTCAGCCTGAGCCTTTTGCTGATGATGTACGTGCTACTGGGTTTCTCTGAACCTCTCAATACTGCTGCAGCTGCATTGCTTCCCAGCAAATTAAGTGGCAGTAGGCTTAAGCTTAATCTCTGTCACAGGTCTTGTCTCTGTGCAGGAGTCAGATTTTAAAGCAGCTTCTTTTCATTCAGCTTGTGCCAAAAAAGAAAAACAAAAAGAAAAACCCCCAAAACTTAAGGCCTCTGCAGGCCACTTCGGCCAGTTTAAAAATACACCTTGGTGCTGGCCACATTTATCCTGGGGCCTGGTTCTCCAAGCCCACCACGACAGCCCTCATCCAACGCTGGCTGAGGCTGAGAGGCCTCAGATCAACTTCCACTCTGCATTTTCCAGGCTGACAGTCTCATTCACCCCTTCACACTGCTGTATTTTATATTGCTTGAACTCCTTCTGCTTTGATGATGCTATAACAGGAAGCTAGTAAAGGATATTATAAGAGGAGCTAGTAAAAGATGTCATTCTTTACTAGAGACAGGGGAAAAACGAGGTCCTGGTATGTCAGGGCTCTTTGCCACTCATGAGCCATATGTTAAATTCTTGCAAGCAGTTTGCCCCAACTTTACGAGGTCACCTTTGTGGTGATCACAGCGATTCTCCAGAGCAAGGGCTGCACAGTCCATTGCCAACAGCTGTGCTGCAGGGGCAGTGCTGGAAATCCAGGGGCAGCTCAACAGGAGCTGCTTTGTGGCTGAGGGACCAAAGTGTGGTCTTGCCACAAACAAGAAAAGGGCTGTTCCTGGTCCAGGGAAGGGTGTCCTTGCCACCTGTTTCGGGGTTTGGAGCTGCTTTCCCAGCCTGCAGGACAGTGAATTAAGGCTGGAAGCAATGCTGCTCTGTTTCTCACGCTCCTTTAGTCTTAGTTTGAGGACTTTCCTGGCCAGAACACACTTACCAGCCCTGCAGCTGCTCAGAGCCAGAAAGTGTTTGCAGCTTCTCTCCTTACAGCATAAATGGGGATATCCTGCATGCCCCATCAGAAGTGTCTGAAATTCACCTCAGAAACAGGGTCTTCTGCTCATCCCAGATCTCCTCAGGACTCTCAGTCCCTGTGCAATGTCCTAGGCAGAGGCGTTCTCCATCAGCAGAGATGGGAGAGGCTTTTCCGTGTCTCTGCAGTGTGGGGTTTGCACAGAGGGACAGCAAATGGTGGCAGAGCACAGCCAGACAGCTCCTGGCTGGTGGCAGAGGTGCTGCTGGCCCCTGGAATGACAAGTTTGGTTGATTAATTCAGTGTGAATCCAGGATGAATACAGAACGAGGCACTGTGCTGCAGTCAGGCTCCGTGTGCTTTTTGAATCTGTGCAAAATGAACCTCACCATGGCACCGAAAGGTGGGTCCCATAGTCTGGGAGGATTTTAGCAGGGGGCTGCCTCCTGAGTGCTGGCTTTTGAGACTTCTGAATAAAAGCACAAAGTACAATTTCCAGAGACTCTGCACTGCAGGGAGGGGTTTGAGTGCCCATCATATTCACCTGGGCAAGGCATTAGAGGCAAGATTGGGCCGCACTTCCTGGCTCTTAATGGATGTCTTGTGTTGCTGGATTGCCGTGGTGGATAGAAAAATCAGAGAAAATCATGCCGGTTTTCTCTCTCTCGTGTAATTTGCATTGTTTAGACGGCAGGCTCTGCGGGGAGGTGCTTGCTGCTTTCTGCCTGCTCCGGCAGTGCCGGGGGAGAGGAGACCATTGCTCTCAGCAGTGAGGCTTCTACAGTGATGCAAGTCACCCATCCAATCACGGATGCCCTCTTGATGCCCGCTCGCCACACATTTGCTGATTAAAAGCCGGGTTGCTGCATTTTCCTATAAATCTTCAGCGTTTCTGCTGCAAGGGGTGGACTGGGTGTGCTCCAGGTGAGGAGGAGCCTCTCGCCTGCCCTTGCCCGAGCACTGCCCGTGGCTGCTGTGTGGCTGGGGGGCTGCAAAGTGAGCATTTGTGCTCTGGCCCAGAGCTGATGTAGAAACCACTCCTGGTGTTTGCTGCTGGCCGAGCCGCAGCCACCTCTGCCCTAGCAACAAAGCTTCACATTTCCATCGGCAGCGGTCCCCTGCGTCCTGCAGAGAGAGGCAGGAGCTGCCTTTGCTACCTCCAACCGCAGAAAATAATTGCCAGAAGGGCCCAAGGCAGTAGTTTCAGGCAAGACAGATTTTGCTGAACTCCTAGAAAGAATGCTCTTGCTTCTTGAGGGAGGCTTAGTGAGGTGGTTCAGCTCCCCCTCCTCCCCGAATTAGTTTGGGAGTCCCACAGAGTGTGACTGATGAGCGATGGAGCAGCTGCTCCCTCCAGGAGCCAGCGCTGTTCATTAGCCGGGTTCCCCAGAGCTCTCATCTGTTTCCCTGTGGTCTCAGGCCAGATCTGTTCGCTGCTGGTGCTTTTTTCTTGCCATGGCAGGCACGGAGCCCCCGCAGTTTCCTGCTCGCTGTGACAGGAGGGCTCAGGGGGATGAGCAGCGGGTGAGAGCCCTGGGCAGGGGCAGAGCCCCGGGCAGGGCACCGAGCTCAGCCCTGGCACGGCTTTCAGTGTTTAAAACTGCACTTCTCAGTGTTTAAAACCGCACTTTTCGGTTTTCGGTGTTTAAAACAGCAATGAATCAGGGCTGCATTAAGGCAGGGGTCATTTCCAGCCACGGCTGGTTCAGTAGGACCCCCGAGCTCCTTTGCTGGCTGTGCCCCAGCGGCCCGGGCTGCTGAGGCCGCTGCGCTCCCTGGGCCGCAGCCTGGGCCCTCGGGCCCCGGGCCGGCTGCGAAGGCGATGCTGGAGACATTTCTCACTTAGCCTGGTTTTCCCGCACCACCTAGTGGGAGCAGGGATGGCTGCCTGGCTGTTTTGTGCCGCAGCTCCCGGCCGTGCAGCGCCCCGGGCCCTGCCCTCACGGTGCCCTTGTGTCGCCCCGCAGCTCACAGGCACAAGAAGCACGACACGCTGCAGCCCTGCGACACCGAGTACCCCGTGTTCGTGTACGAGCCGGCCATCAGGGAGACCAACGGGCTCATCGACTGCGGAGACTGCCAAAAGTAAGAGCTGCAGCTTCCCTTTCAGCTGGGGACCTTGTCCCAGGGCTGCGGGGACAGGGTCACCTGCCACTGTGCCCATGGCACCGCCACCGCCACAGCTCCGGCGACAGCGACAGGTGACACCAGGGAACTGATTCTTAACAACAACAAAAATTAAAACCTCTCTTATTAACCTCTATTCATAAGCAGAGGTGGTCGGAGAACAAAGAGAGCAGCATTTAAATATGTGTATCTTTCCATTCCAAAGATTTCTTTCATGTTTCTGGCAAAAGTTTTTTTTCTTAGAAAGTTTTCTTTTTTTGCAGTGCTCTTGGTTTTCCTTTTGTCTTTTTTTTTTTTTTAATTTTTCTCCTTTTT